TATTTAGCTTGACTTGAAAGTTGTTGGAGTAGTTCATTATTGAGTTGGTTTTTTCGCTCATAGACTATATCCAATATGAAAGATGTAACTTGTTCATCTCTATTAAAAATATATATTGATATTATGACTTGAGGGAAAGAAGATTATTGAATTGAATTAGTATTTGTAATTTATCTTCCTATTATTCAATTTATCTTACGTATCATTTCATCAAGAATGTTGACTTTTTCACACTAGTTGTGCTAGAAAAAACGTGCATAAGATAAAGTAAACATATACATGTATTAATACATAAACACTTTCTTTAAATTATTAATAGTGGAAAAAGCGAACCAAATCTAAAAACTAAACTTTGTTCAGCATTATCGTCTTGTTTGTTATATTATTAATAAAATAGAGAATATACGTATGTATATGTTTGTGTACTAAATATGTATTTTTATTTTATCTAATGCATATTTTATACTAAAGCTAGTTTGAAAACATCAACATCATTGACGAAACGTCATGTAAAACAAATTCAACAAAAGGAAGAGAAAATTTGGTGAATATTGTTTTAATACATAAGCTGATGTAAATAATACTAAAAATTATTCATATAATATTCCTGACTGAATTGTGATGAAGTTCTTTCAATGCTCGGTATCTTTCTAAGTTTTATTCATCTGGTAAGAAATAAATATTTATTGGATCAGTTCAACATTGGATGTACTTTTTAATAAGATGCTTAATTCTTTGACGGGAGAGTTTGCTTTTTTTTAGAAAAGAAAATGAAATTTTATTATCAAAATTCATTATACTTTGAGTATTGTTTAATTACATAATTATTCTATTGAGTCTTGATTTGAAGATATACCTGATTTATTTTCAAATAATAAAAAAGAAATAAGTATAATTAAGGACTTTTTTCTTTAACTCAATTGTGAAACCGTAAAATTACGGACTTCACCGCCAAAGGGTTAAAAATAAGTAACCATAGCAGAAAACTACAACTTATGTGTAGTTGTGAGTATGGTTGTCATCGAAGAGAAGACTCACATCTACACCTTTCAATGGAGTTCTGTTCATTGTTCATGGGAAGCAGTTGTGTGATCAGCAACAGCCGTATTGCCTACAAAAATAGTGAGTCCAAGTTTTAATCCAAAATGAATTGCTTCTCTCTGTCTCTCTTAAAGAAAATTTTATTGTAAAAATAATCTTTAAATATAGATTTTTCTAACTAATTTATTTTCTCTTCTAAGAAAATCGAAAAAGAACTAGTGAAAAAAAATGTGCTTGCTTTATTAATGAAATAAATTATTGTCACTCACATGTTTTCAAGGTCTGTCTTCCATTTATGTTCTCGCTTCACTTTGTCAGCACTCACTAAGCAAAACGAATTTTGAAACATCGGATTTCGTTTTGATTTATGCAAGTTTCAATTTTTCTAATATTTGAAGTGCAAAAAATTAAACTCAGTTAAAAAAAAGTTCTAACGAAGCTCAAAACTCACATTTTCTCTTTTTCTCGTACCGTATTCTCATGTGAATTGTACATTTTAGTCCCGGTAGGAGCTGCGCTGAGAAGTTTTGTGCAGTCAACATTAGAACGTAACAACGTGAATAGATGACATTACATATAATTATGATGCGTTTTGTCAATGCGTGTTCAAAAGTGATCGCGTCGTAAGAGGAATAGATGCACATGATATTTACCTCGGTTTTGTTTGATTACACAAGTGACACATTTGTATTTATTAGTCGCTTTGTTTCAATCTACTCATAGTCATCATTTCGACTGCTGTCACCTAAACCATTATTTGAGAATAAAAGATTATGCTCTTATACAGTGTCTCGGCATATTGCTAATTTTTTGGAGACATTCTATTTGGAATCACTTTTTTTTCAGAATTATTTATTTATTAATTTAGTATTTTAAAGGTAGTTTTTGATAGCAATCAGCTTTTTGCAATACGCATTCTTCATGAGAACAGTTGAAAAGATTTCTACGAACTAACAGGACATTTTAATAAGATGTCTCAATTGTTTCAAAGCATGGTCTTATACAAGGACAGTGCATATCTATTCTAGAGTGATTTACTTTTCTTTTTCAATTTGTTTGTCATCCACATATTTAATGATTTCTCTTTTACTCTTATCTCGTTTTAATTGCCTGGTCAATTAATTTGTCTTCTAACCTTGTTGATTCTTATTGCTTTGAACTTGGTCCCATTCTCATAGTCTAGTCATACTTTTTTTTTGACATTCACTTTAGATTATAAGATATTTCTTGGATACCAAAGTAACAGTCAGTTTTATTATTATGGAAAATAGATGCTCTTACTTTCTTCATTTGACGAAAGTTTGTTACATCGCCGCCACAGTTGCTTTCGAATACTCTAATATTTTAGAAGATGCATACGACTATTAATGAAAAATTGTGTAGCTAACAGAGAGGATCTCTTTCTAAATGTGTTTGTTGAATCTACGTCTCATTGGTTTTTGTAACAAAACAGCATATTGTTATTGTCAAATAAATAAAAAAGAACAGTAACATTCATTTTCTCTTTCTACGTTAGATGTGAAGACTCATCTCAGAAGTGTGCGACTTATCATTCATCACAGGCTTTACTTTTATTTTGCAGGAAAACATTAGTAAAACATTCAGTGTTTTACTTTTGCGATGAAACTCGTTAAATTTATGTTAATGACGTACAAAAACTATTAATTTTATTTTTAAATGAAGATATCATTTCTTTAAAATCTATCCTTATGCCACATATATGTATGAGAACTAATGTTCCATCTTCAATGTTGGAAAATTTTTGTTTATCTCCTGTAAAACTTTTGCATTTTGTTCGTGTATATACTCCAAACTCATCGGCACTATCTCCTAAGTCATTAACACTCTCGACAAGCAACAGTTCGCCAAATTTACGCCTCCATACGACTAATAATACTTCTGGCAGTTGTTTCGATACTTTTTTTCTATTCTAGGTTTTTCGAGTCAACAATATCTAAGCGCATGATTTTCTTTGTTATCTGTATGCAGTGCATCGTATACATGCATTGGCCATTGTCATGGAGATTCATGCTCGACATATGACGATTATGATTGATCGTTGATTTTTGTAAATGACAAAGGCAATCGTGATTCATCGTCAAATTATGGTGATGGAACGTGTTCATCCGCCAGTGTATTGTAAAACACTAAATAATTGTTGCATTTTGTTTGTTTTCACAGAGCATACAGAAATGATTTTTTTTCTAGTACCTTATGCAACAGAAAATTTCTTCACATGGTGTAAATCTAGACACACAGCGTGTTGTCGTTTTGCCAACAGGATGGGTTTAATCGGTGTAGTCAACGTGAGAAAACGATTACGATACATGGAAACGGAAAGACAACAACGGCTGAGATCATTGATGAATGCGGTTCGGTACATGGTTGTGACAATGAACATGCTGGACAGTCTCCGTATCGTAATAACATTGTTGGCGAGACGCCAACTGTGTGGAAAGCGCGCGGTATATCGAAAAATGATCCACGATACGAAAGGATAAGCATTTCATGGAATGATTAATTATTAACGTTGAAAATAAGTGACAACTAAACAATGGCAAATGATATCATTTATTTGATATTGCCTCTGATAATCCTGAGGGTGTGGGTTTAAGTCTTTCGTTTATTGATACCCCAACCCCACACCCATAAACTTTTTTTCAGAAGCTATTTCGGCATTAAACGGGTTTCAATCAATAAGTCGATTTTTTCAAAGATGATGATGATGATAGTAAAACAAAAGTTTTGATGTTTTATCGAAAGATGAAATAGCACATTTTGTAGAGAAAAATTTGCTCTACAATCATATATATGAACCAAAGTTTCAATGTTGAGTTTCGGTCTCCAACAGAAACTGTACGAAAATATTTCTGTCCAAACTAAATTTTTGGGACTTTCAAAGAATGTTTCATTTCTTCTGTAGAACAATAAATATAAAATTTCTGAGCCCATATTCGAAAAGAACACAAAATTCTGCTTCTAACTCATAGTTTTTGATTCTTTTGAAATACTTTCATATGAACAAAAAATGAACCAACATTTTGTCTCAAAACTTTCGATCCATCCTTTATTTTGCCAACTTAGCAAAAATTGCAGCGTATCCATCAAAATCAGCAGAAAGTATACAAAAATATATTCGTATTCATACCAAAACATTAAGGAATGTTAAATTTTCCTAGGTTTTTTGTCGTATTGAGGTTCGTAAGTAAACTATCATACGAGTATTATACATAAAAGAAGTTCATTTATTAAGATTCAAATAGTGAAAAACAAAAATTCCTGTCATCAGTGATAAAAGAAATCACTATTCAATTGCTTATATCCATCCCTTATCAAGTTCCATATGTGTATCATAAACAATAAATTCACTAACAGTTTCTAGTGGTGGAAAATTATTTTTTGTTAAATATTCTACAATTGCATCACTACTTTTAAATGCATTCTCTCGAGCAACATCAAATAAACGTGTTATAACCATATAATGAGAATGTTTTTCATCTAGTTGTTTAAATACATTAAATGATACATGTAAACGAAATTTACGATTTGATTGACAGATGGTTCGAAGTTTGTTTAATTTATTTCCCCCATGACCTTTTTTCACCAATATTTTATAATGAAATTCAAAATAATTTGTTTTTTGACACCAAAATAATCTTTTGTCAATATCTGTTTGTGGTACACCTTCATTTGACGCTAATGATTTAATTTTAATACGTATAATATTAAATTGGTTAAAATGTTCATGTACTTCTTCTTCAATTTGTTTAACAATTGATGGATATTCACCAGAATGAGATGATGATATTGTTAATTGTATATGTTCATCTTCTAGTTGCTGGGTATCCGAGTCAATAAGTAGAATTTTATATTTTGTATTGTCACATGTTTTTTTCATTTTTTCAACAACTTGTTCAGTATTATGTGAACAATCAAATGTAACATGTGCTTCGAATGTACCTTTGACAAGATTTGTCGCTACAAGTGCATCTAATTTTGCTTTATATTCAGTACTTAACTTATCAACAAAATTGAAAACACTAAAAAAAAAGAAAATAATTCATTTTTGGGAACCAAGATTTAGCGTGTTTTCTTCAAAACTTACGTGTCCATAGTTGAATCATCTGTTGGATCACCACGTATGTCTTTCATTTCACTAAATATATGTGATACACGTTTATAATCATGTATTGAACGTGTTTGAATTAATTGTTCAGCAAAATCTAAATATCTAAAACCATGAAATAAATTCTTGAACAAATAATCTTTGTCTGATTGACTTGATGTTGAACTACGTTTTGGATAATTTGAATTATTATTTGATTTAAACATATTCATAGCTGTAAGATTTTCATAAAGTGCAACTGTTTTTAATCGAAACTTATTATAATATTTTTCAAGATAAATTGGTCGAAAATCAATTTCTTCTTTGATTTTAAATTCATCAGGTAAAAATATACATTCAATAGCTAATAAGTAATTTTTTTGTAAAAGTATTTCAAAATTTTCAACACTATGAATGCAAACGTCGTATTTATTCCATAATTTATGTAATTCAAATTGATGAAAATAATCGAAATCAGGGTCGAACTCTAATGATGTTTTATCACGCGATCGAGTTACAATCATAAGATCTCGATCAGATGTCTGTGTATTAGTACCATAGACCCATGAGCCATAGTTATAAATATTTGCCACAGAGTTTTCATTTAAATTGAGTTCACGTAAAATCAATGAAATGTCTGAACGATCCATTGTATGTAATTGATTTTTCATGAAATGGAAGTTTGCATCGAATCATTGATTTATATAAACTGATGTCGAACCATTGAGTCAGTGTTGTGCAATTCACATGTGTAGACGTGTGATTTAGTCAGCTTGAATGTCGAGCATGTGGCAATAAAAAGCAAGAACAGAAGAAAAGAATGAAATATTCATATAATTCCGTTACTTTCAACTGCAATGTCAAGCCAATTAACTTCAATATATCTAGATGAACATATAGCAATCAAAGTCAATGCTCAACTTAAAATATAAGGTTTTAAGGAATCTTTTTGTACCCAAGCACTTAAAAAATGAAAAAAAAGGTTATCAAAAAGGTGAAGCGGACAAGTAAATTCATATAGTTCAAATTCATTGATTACAATGGAGATTTTCATCGATTTCATTGCATGATTTTGATTTAACAACAAATCCACTATATTTGCTTGATAAAAATGTTGCTTTTTATCCATGGATTTGAAAAACATCAAATCTATGAAGATCGCGAAGTTTGTTTCATGTTTTAATTTCAAAGGTTGTCACAAAGAATGTCTTTTAATTCTGTATTATTCTTTCTCATAGTTATTATAAAAGAAATGATTTCAAAATCGATTTGGAATATCTTATAAACAACGAGAAACTGTCTCGAAAAGTATATTTTAGAGGCTATTTAGGATTCACGTGAACAGTTACAGTCGAAGGAATATATAACTATAATTCATGTATAAAAATAAAAAAAAAATAAATCTATTCCTAAAGTTCATGACAATGTATGTATATGTATATAACGACATTTTGTAAAGGTTGATGAAAGTAAATCGGGGTCGGGAAATCCAAATCTGAAGTCGGTTTTTTCAAAATTTTTAATTCATTTTTTCACGAAAAATTTCTATTATAAAAAAAATCGTGTTTTTCCTGCAAAACTATTACACTGGAAATGAATATTTCTTTTTTTTTGAGAACTCAGTTTTTTTCAGAAAAAAATCATGCGGAAAAAAAGTCGATCGAACAATTCCGGAAAGCCCATTACAGATTCAGATTTCCCGACCCCGCTTTACTTCCGTCAACCTTTAGGAAATATCGTTATTCTCTCAAAAACTCCTGCCCTTGACCCAAAAAGACAATATCCTTTTGACCTACTGAGCATTTTTTTTTATCTGCCACAAGCAAACAACTTCAATTTAATTGATATGACCCTTCCTACAGTCGACGGAATAAAATTTGTTCCAGACATTTTTTGAAAGAAAAAAAAATCATTTTTTTCAAAAAAAGTCCATCCCGGCACCACAGGGTTAAATTATAATTTATGTTTTAGGCAAAATATTTTTCCACCTACCTTGCGTTGTCATAAATCATATCCGGATGATTATTTATAGTATAGACATTCTTCTTGTTTTTCTGGAGAAACGACGAGAAATTTTTTTTTTCTTGGAAGTAATATTGTAGAGAAAATAATTTTTCCACTTATATGAGGGCGCCAAACTGTGCTTCTCAAAACTGTTCTTATACTACCACTTCATTATGGATTGATTTTTATCGACTAACTTGTTTTGTACGGTTGGAGACAACAGCCAGTTTACTATTGATTCCTGTTCAAAACAAAAAGCTTGATCGCGTCTCTTATGGAAAAAGATGCTATTCGATAAGTTGTCGATCAATAGTGATGCTTTACGAAATAAACTTCCAGAAAGGGACGTTACGAGCACTTTGTACGTTTGTCATTTCATCGCTTATACGAAATATGTGCTAATTACTAACTCCCATTCCTACAAAAGCCATTAACACATGAGAAATGCTTGATTAGTCGCAAAAAAAGGGTGAATGGCGAAATTTTCAACAACTATAATCGTTTGAACATCATAAAAATATTAAAAAAATATCGACCCTAAACTATTTTCACACTTTTTTTGGTCACCGATTAAACATTTTTCACAGTATTTTCATATTGAAATGTTTAAACACTGTTTTGACCGTTAGATTGTCCGTCAGGGTAGACAATTTGAGCAACTGCAATTTACAAAACCGTAGCATCTAGTGCATTTTATGAGATATAATCAGGATCATATCCATCACTATGTGCTAAAGCTCTACTAATCGTGTCGTCTAATATTACAGAGAGTGAAAAATCCTAGCTGTCAGCTGCAATGTTTTCTGATGTTTTTGCCTTGGGTAATGCTTGAAGTGGGTTTCATTATCATATTATTAAATCTAATGTTTTCCTATGGCAAAATGATGCATTATATATATCCATTATTAAAAGATGATCATATATATGAGAAGTATCATAAATTCAAACATTATAGTAATATTGAACGAAAATGTCATCTACAGCAGAAATAGTCAATATAATTTCACGTTGGCTCAATTATGTTTTTGCTATACCAATAGTAATCATTGGCACTATTGGAGCATTATTAACTATAATCATCTTTATAAAGCATCCTTCATTTGTGCGTAATCCAACGATTCACTATCTATTAGCTGGTGCGATCATGACAGCTTTGCATCTTCCATCTGTCTATTTACAAGGTATACTTGTCGAGGGTTTTGGTTTAGGTGTATACAATACTAATGATATCATTTGTCGAGAACATCGTTATTTATTTTATTCGACAACAGTAGCAACTATTTCTTTTCCATGTTGGGCTGCATTTGATCAATATGCTAGTACATGTCGTAAAGCTTATTTTCGTAATCGTTGGAGTTCAATACGAATCGCTCGATTTGCTATTATTGGTACAGTAATCTTCTGGAGTATTATCTATATCCCAATAATCTTTATTAGCAGTAGTGTTAATGGTGTTTGTGTTTTTATAGATAGTCCCCTAGCAAAAATCAATGACTACTTTTTAACACCTATAGCATATACAATCGCTCCAATTACTATAATCATTATATTTACGCGTGGTATTATTCGAAACCTTCACTCAAATAGATCTTTCAATACTCATAATCATTTAAGAACACAAGTTCGTCGTATGCTTATTCCACAATTAATTATTCTTAGCGTTTCTGGAATACCATTTGGTTTACTTNGGAGGGGGGTCTTATAATTATGAGACGCATTGATTTGAAATTATTAAAATTTATTCATTAATGGTAATTGACTAAATTGAAACTAATATGGTATATGATAGAGTACTGCTAGATGTCTTTAGGTATGACGTTAGATTGGAAATGAAACCCTCTTTAGTTAAGGAAATCTTTATTTTTGTGGAAATTTAGTAGGGGGTCTTATAATTATGAGACACCCTGTATATCCATTAGCGAAAAGTTTTCTTACGGAACGAATTCTTCATGATTGTCCAGTCGTGCGCAAGCATTACGAGCGTAGAAATCCTATTGTTATTTATGGTGAGTGGTGCGGTGGAAATATTCAGAGAAATATAGCCATTTGTGGTCTCTCGAAAATGTTCGTTATCTTCAAGGTCAGAGTCGGAGACTCGAATCCTCCACTCTGGCTCGATCCAAAAGATTGGTCAAATCTTCGATGGTCTGAACACTCAATCTACAATATTTACGATTTTCCTACGTACGAAATTGACATTGATTTCAATCAGCCAAAACTTTCTCAGAATAAGCTTGTCGAAATCACTGAAGCAATCGAACACCAATGCCCAGTCGGCGCACACTTCAATCGAAAGGGCGTTGGCGAAGGGGTTGTGTGGACGGAATGGACTCAGTCGCGAGGTGTTCTAACATTCAAAGTTAAAGGCAAAGAGCATTCGGTGAGCAAAATCCGACAACTTGCCTCGGTTGACACGGAAAAATTCGCCAATCTTCATGACTTTGCCGACTATGCCTGTACGGAAAATCGCATGCACCAAGCATTTGACTATCTATATGAACAAGAGTTAGGTGTTGAAATAGAAAACTTCGGAAAGTTTCTCAAATGGCTTGCAGATGATATTATCAAAGAAGAATCAGACACTATGAAAGATTCAAATATCTACCCGAAAGATATCGCCTGTGCGATTACGACCAAAGCCGAAGCCTGGTTTCAAGAGAAGCTGTTTTTGTACTTTTCACAATAAACACGAAAGAAAGCAATAAATAGGTTCTGATCAATTGTTCCGAGAAAAAGAGATGACTTCTCTTGATCGATTTGCCTGCTTTTTTATTGTGCAAATTTCTTTTTGTGGATAAGTCTAAATTTCAAAAAATTGTCTGATTGTCAATTTTCGCACATTTTCGCGCAATTCGTATTAAAGTTATATCTGTATAATTTTTCATTGTCAGCAAAGTTAAATCCCATATGATTCTCATATTTTGAAAATTATTCATATAAATACGTTCTTGAAAAAGCGTCTAATGGTCTGACGTAAGTACATTTTGTCGCGAAGAAAATGGTCCCTTCACCGCGATCTCTATCATTCTACTACACTAAAGCTTTGGACTGCATAGAAACAGTAGTATGATCATATTCATATTCTCAAACCTGAGCGATAAGTAGATCGATCATCGTTACGATGTGAGCAGTGAACGAAAGAATTGACAAAAGTGAAAGGTGTTTTCACTGAGATGAATCCAGCTGGTGATACACTCAAAAGAGATACCCAGCAATGTGACCGCGATTCTATCTCCACTAGCATCACAAATGGAAATTTCGATCGTTTTGATCCATTGCTTATGTATATGCAGCTGCTCTAGGAGACTCATAAAAATACGACACGATGACAAGGAAAAGAAGGTATTTACTGACTTTTATCAGAATTACATCCCAAAAACCTGCACGAATTGCAAATAATCGATGAATTTGAATTTGATTACCATTCACACTCACGCATTTGGGGGTATACTCGAGAGTATTTCATCTATCACATGCTAAATCGAGTTCTTCTATATCTAATCAAAGAGAAAACTTATGACCACGATGAAATTCGACTCAATTTGCATTCAGTTCTGTCAAATTCAAACTAGTCTTCGGAAATGGGTGTGAGTATGCCTGTGCATCTTCTTTACATTCACGCTAATCTGACATCCCGAACTATACCCAGATCTGTATCCGCACCAACATCATGCTCACGCCCACATCCACAGTCATATGAGACCCATATTCACACGCTTTTGACACACGTGCTCTCTGCGTATCGCTCGTGTATTTTCGTTTTCAACTCAATTTCATAAGGGTAGAAAAACAATCAAAATAGGGAGTGGTAATGTGTTTTGTTAAAACGAAAATATTCTTTGAAAAACTTTCAGTGACAGAAATGATGTAATTTCAATTTAGATGAAATACCAGTCACGCTGCATCATGATTCAATTTCATTTCATTCGATTCTGTTCGTCACGATCTCTGTAATGGTGCAAGATGCTTGATGATTACCTTCATTTTCAGCTTCAGAATGTGAAAGAAATGGTAATAATACTTTACCTTTCACTGAAGTCGGTTTCATATTTGAGAAAGAAAATACAGAAAGGAATTATTCAAGTGTTTCATCGCTGTCAAACAAAAACAGGGTGTGAGTGTAGGATGTGGGTTTCTTTTCTATTCTTTTCTTTTCTTTTTACCAACACTCACACCCACACCCACACCCACAGATGGAACCGGTCAACCAGTAACGCATGATATATCGATAATTCACAGTACCAGAGAAAGGGTAGTTTAGATATGGAAAATTTGGTTTATTGCGTGATAAAACTTAGTGCGCCAAGCTGTATCACATATCTGCTATAGAGATAGAACCAGCTCCAATTTTTGACGACTGATACTAGTCTGAAAAGATCGGACAGATCGGTCTACTATTTACCAGCCGGCCACGACCGGTCTACTGGTTACCGACTGCTAAACGGTATCAATTCCATCTGTGCATACACCCACACCCACACTCTCTTTTCAAAGATTTTGCTTTTCTTTTAATAACGATAACATCGGTAGGATACTAAAAGTGACATGAACGTTTGCTTATTGGAAACAAATTGTAGTTACTCCTGTTTCGTCATAGAGAAATCAACTGGACAAAGAGTAGATGGCTTGTATAGGTCTTAGTCCTGAACACATATAGCTGCCAAATGATGTCTTACTCTCTTTCTCTTCATAAAAGAACACAAAAGTAGAAAGTATCTTAAACTTTTGCGGCGCATATTAGAAGAAAAAATAGTTTGTACAGTTATTGGTATCGAATGAAAATCTAGTTCTAAAGCGTCACCAAAAGTGTTAGCTTTTTATGGCATTAATGAATTTAGTCATTACGAATTAGATCTTACTTGTTATGTGTTATAAAGAGAAAAAAGAAACGTTTTTAGTTTATCTCGATGAAGATTTGAATCATCTTACGATAATAGACCGCAATGCATGATCTTCCAATCAATCACAGACTGTGACAGATGACCCCCAGAGGTCGTCATAGACCGTGACGAACGTTTTCATAAATGCTTAACCATCATATATTGCTAATATTTCATGAGAATATATGGATTGGTTCATTATTTCAGTCCTAGAGGATCAAGTAAACGAGGACGGAAACATGAGAACCAACATAAATCGAACACAAGAGCTATGAGTGTCGCTAAAAGTAAATTGAACTCACTTTTACATCCACACCCACGCTCCCACACCCTGATAGACAGACGAAAAGCACTTAGCAACCGTCCGAGACCGTGACATACAGAACAGAATTGGTAAAGCTCCCAAGTATAGTATGATCCATGTGGCTAGGGCTCTGCTTAACGAGTGAAAGGAATTCGTCGTGCTTCACATTTTAATCCCACGGGGATTATACTGAAATCATTTTTCTCTGAGTGAGCTTCGCGGAAAATTCTGTGAAAGAACAATATATCAGCGTATTACCAACTATATTCCGCTTTCATTCCAATCCGACGACGCGATGATTATAGTCAAAAAATGACAAGAAGTGAATGAATCGCCAACTAGTGCGATCCAGCGTCCCCCTGTCTCCGATATCAAGTCGTAACATAGCCATTTCGGGACTCACTGTCTCCTTTCCTTATGACTATGTAGCTTCCGAATGATCCAGTGACAGACAGACAGAATTTATTCGATTTTCGGGGCCCCGAACAGAGTCACAGATCGCGATGGATAGGTTGACAGAATGAATAGGATTCTCTTATGTCACAGACGATGACGGTCAGTTATTCTAGCTCTATATGGTCTAACGAGCACGTCGGTACGATTGTCTGTCCAGTAGATATTTGAAATACTCAATGTGATCAGAAGTTTGATTCTCCAATAGGATGGCTACATTGTGTTTTATATTTTAATCCCGCTGGGATTACTCTGAAAGCTTTTCTTTCCAGGCAAACACTAAAGTTAGACAAATGAAGTCAATCAATTTTTATGTCATCATTTCTGGGTGAAGCTTTAATCTGGTGAACCAAAGGTTGCATGTTCCTTCAATCTCTGAAACATCATGTCTGCTATTCTAGTAGTTTTTCAGTGTTCACTTCCGGATCTTCGTCATCATCATCATCATCATGGGCTGAACCATAACATCGCTTCACTGGCCGTTGCCCCTAACGTCCATACCACTTATTGTTGTCCAAATCTTGATAACTATATGCGATGGCATCATTCACGTCACTTCGACAGAGAATCCAAATTATTCGGTAACGAAAAACTTCACATATGGCAACAAGCTCATAAAATAATTTGTTGAGATTATCCGAAGCTTGCTTCATCAGCGGTGGAATTTCACCGACGGCTAGCCCTATGCAGAAATAGACACGGTTAATCGCTTTAAAATTTGCTAGCAGCATGTAAAAGAGCAGAAAGCTTCTGAAAATACACGTGTATGTGATAAACTCTCTTTTCTACGCATCTTACCAATAAGAAGGTTCGTCACAAAAACAGTTATTATAAGAACAAACAGAATGTAAACCAGGAATGCCACCTTATAATAGGCTTTCGTGTTTTCGCTGTGCATACGCTCGTCAAAGCCTAATTCTCCGGATATCATGAACGCTAGGTAGTTAATAAAACACGATAAGAAATAAATGTAAGTTGACCAACGCTATTTAAACATACCTGTTTTGATGTAAGAGTAACCTGCATTTTGGAATGGCTCGAAATTTTGAAAGATCATGTAAAAAGTGA